CTGAATTTTCATCTTCATCTACACTAATCCATGACACATAATGCTGTCGTTTAGAGAATCTTGGATGAAAAGAGAAAGGACAAAAAGAAAGTTTTTTTTCTATATTTTTGTCCAGATCACTCATCAATACTGAGTAATCTAAGTTCATCTCGATTATTTACTACTTAAATGTACAATATTTACATGTCTAAGCCATTGGTCTTTCTAATCACTGAAAGCCAGCCACTCAATTAGCACCTAAGCATTTCTTTAATAAGTGTGTCAGTGAATCAGGGAATCGTTTAATTCACTTGTTGAATTATGATCAAGACTGACTTGAGTATTGTGTGTTTCTATAGCTTGCAAGCATCTCCCCCCTTTTATTTCATCCCTTGAATATTTTCAGCTTTCTTCTGTGTCTTCGCTAACAAAGGCCATCACTCAGTTTAAAATAGAGTCACACCAGAGTGACAGAATGTGGGCGTCTAGTGGCTGCACTGGTTTGATTTCTGCTTCACCAAGCCAGACACCATCAGACAAAAACTGTCTTGTTTTCCTAAAACGTGTGTTTGACTGATATTCACTTCACTTGTGAATCGCCCTGATTTAGCTTTGCGAAAACGTCAGGTTTAGAAGTTAAAAAGGTTTTGGTTGCCACACCAGGTTTCCTTTGATTCTGACTCACAAGTTAAAGCTTTGATGATTTTCTTTGATTGTCAGCAAACCTCATGCTGGCAGATTTTCCTCATCTCTCACACACATACACACATATGCAAAGAAACAGGCTTTTGCACATAAATGAAATGGTTTCTAAAAAAAATGTGTTTCACTTGAAGCATTTCATAAACGGTACAAATTTGAAAATCATTTGAAAATTCTTTAAAGGTTTAGAGCACTTTGGTGGCAGTTTTGGATTCAAATTTAAACTTAAAGTGGGAAATATTTCTAACAAGTTCAGGCATAAAGTAATATTTTTAATCACACATTAAAAAATTCCATTATTATTAATTCAGACTTGAAAAGAAGTTCCTGACTATATTCATAAAGTTTAAATAAAATTATTTTTTAATTAGGGCGCCACCAAAAGTGCTGGGAACAGGTCCTGTATTTAAGTTTTGATGATTTTTATATGAAGCAAATTTCATTAAATTATCTAATTTTGTCTAATTAATAATTCATTTTCCTACTGAAGAGCACCTGTTGGCAAGGTTACCTTAGAAATCAAAGGAAGAGTGAAAGAGACAAAGACATGAGAGAGCGGGGGAGCAACAGCACCCGTTCCCTGCATAATAAGTAGAAGAGTCTTTTTTATGACAGTCCTCACCAGGAAAAAACAACATTATTAGTATCTTGTGTAAATGCATGAAAGTCTTGATACTGATTACCATCTTGATGTGCAAATAATTCTAGTATCGCTACATGATGTCAGCTTTTGTGAAATGAGGTGGAAACTGAGGCGTACCCTGTAACTATAAATAAATTTGTCACTTAAGATAAAGTGTTTTTCAAATATAAGTATTGTTGTTCTCACCAGGTGTGATGCCCCAGTGTATTCTGCCCTGTCTCTTTGTTTCTGTGCAGGTCCCTTCAGGTGGAGTGCATCAGTGCACCTTGGAGCACCTGTCCATTCTCCCTGCACCATCGTTGGTTGGCTTGTTGATTAGGTTTGGCCCAACTGATAAGACTGACTCATTGTGTGTGTTTTTTAGATAAAGATATCTACTTTACTTGCAAATCCACGCCTCTCCTGTCATTTTTTTTT